TCGGGCAACTCCTAGCCTCTAAGCGCATAAAGGCTTGTCCTGGCCTACCTTGGCCTGGACGCCTTACGGGTTTCTTCCGCTTTAGCACGTAAGCGGCACCTCCCATGGACCGGTCTGAGCTAGAAGAGTGCCCCGACCATTGGACTTGAGGTCATGATCTAGTGCTACTGACTTTGGTGGAGCCATCCCATCGGGCAACTCCTAGCCTCTAAGTGCATAACGACTTGTCCTGGCCTACCTTGGCCTGGACGCCGCACGGGTTTCTTCCGCTGTAGAACTACCCCCGTGACATTCTGGCGTCTCCTCTCAAATTTAAATTCTCAATCTCTCAATCTCTCTCTCTCACTTGACACTCAAACTCACTGATCTCTCTCAATCTCTTCTCTCTTAGTCTCATCTCTCTCAATCTCTCATCTCTCTCACTCTCAGTCTCAGTTCACATTTCTGTTTAGTGTTCACTCTCTCCAGACCATCGGTAGGGAAGGTTTTTCCCCTTTTTTTAATATTGAGCGCGTAAAAAAACCAAAAAACCGGTTAACTGGTTGCATTTATTCAGTTTCAGTTTGGTTAAATTGAAAAACCGAACAATTCGATTTGATCCAGAAAATCACCCCACAGTTCAGTTAACCATACCGTGAGCACCCCTACTGAGTAGGTCGCCTAGTCAACCTGTAAGAAAGAGATCAGAGTGTCCGGGTTGTTTTACCCGGGGTAGGCACTCCAATGCTTAAGTTAGCGAACTAAAGATGTGATTGCTAGAATACAAGAGTGATAGAGGGCTTGAGAGCTAAATCGCACGTACCTTCTGAGGTTGGAGGTGAGGCTCTTATATAGGCGGCCTTCCGTGAGTCTCACGATAGGGTTGTTCACGGGTCAGGTTGGGTCGGTTTAGTAGTGTTTTTTCAACCGACCCGACCTGGTCAAGTTACCTATAGACCAAACCGAAATCGACCTAGTCAGTTTGAGTCGGTTTGGGTTTCAACCAACTCCAAGCTTGAACGATGCACATGTAGTCATAGTGCTAATATTATATATAATGTTTTAGAATGTATTTTCCGGAAATATATATTTAAAACCAAAACATACATACAAATATATCGAAATATATATTTTCTAATTTCTGGAAATATATATTTTGGACATATATATCTGATATATTTCAGAATATATATTTTTCAGATATATATATATTTATTATTTAAAACTAAAATATCTATATTTAACATATATATTTTTTTTTTCAGAATATATATTTTTTCACATAACTCAGTTTAGTTTGGTTTATTCATTTTTGCAACCCAAAACTGACCGATAGTGAAGAAAAATCGGCCAACTCGGGTTGGGTCCGGCCAGGTTGGTCGGTTTGGATTTATTTGTGAACAACCCTACCTCATGAAGCACATCTGGGATCTCTGGCCCAACTAATTTGGAGGTGGTTTCACACCTGAAGATGGTTTATGTGCAAACTGATAAGGCTTATCCAGCCGCACTTGAAGCAAGCAAGGTGATACTCAACTCTTCTGATGTGGCACTGTGATCTAGGGGAAGTCAAAGATGATAACCCACTTAAGGAGAAGGTCACCCGACAGGTCGCTAGTTGAACTCAGGTCAGGTCGACAAAAGCGGGTCCCTCTCATGTCGACCTGATGTCTTGTTGGGGCTAGGGTAGTCTGGTGGAAGCAAGTGGCCTCATACATCGACCTGAGGTCCCACCTAGCCGTTCATAGTTTGGTCTGCTAGGGTGGCCCCGAGGTCATTGATGTAGTTGTGAAGTGTTTGAAGTGGTCTACTTACGTGGTGTCAAGGTGTATCCCAGTTGTTTTGCGATGCCACGTGTCATGATGTCATTGGATGACCAAATTACTCCTCATTAATTTTTCTTAATTAGTTAATCCTTATTAGTGTTAATTATTTCAAATTTTTATTATTTTTATTTGTGGATTATTAATAATTAATTAATTAATTATTATTTTAAATTTGATAAATTATTTTATATGAAATAGTACGTGTTGAACTCAAAATTATCAAATAGTCTATTCTATGGGTAAAATAGTAAAATCAGAGAATCTTAGATGTTAAAGGTTTGATCCAACACAAATAAGTTTATCTATTTAGAGCCTCTAAAAAATAGAAAAACATTTATGCCTCTTTTTAGATTTCAGACACTTTTAATATATTCTTAACATTTTAGAGTTCATATTTTAGATTTATCAAACGTCACCTTAATCAGAAACATTAAACTGACACCTATATACACCATTTTTATGGGAAACCACAATGGTAACATGGAGAGATATTCCCAATGTAAAGCTGAAAAGAGTTGTGAGAATGGTACGAGTACAATTTTATAAACACCAAACCCAATTTTCACAAACACACCCCTAATAAGGGAAATGTTTTCAATGCACGCTGAAGTGTAGATGTGGGGCGCCTTTGGCTTTGGGCATCCCCATTGACCACCAGCAGCAAAATCCAACATGGGATGAAAACGACTAAAACATGTCACATATACGCTACCCTTACCACACCCAAACTCCGTGAACCATGTAATTTCGTATTCATATTAATTAGCACTACCTGACGGGTCGGGTAACCAGCTATGGCAATCCAAAACCCGGAAAAGTCTCAAACAGGCTCCTCAATAAAAACCCCAGTTCGGGACATGCAGGAATCATGGTTGGCTTTTCGGCTGGATCTTTGTCCAAATCTGATCCTCTGCCCAATTACGGACCAAGCAACCGAGTGATGACAATCAGACCCTGAACTGAACATATAGACCCCTCATCTCTTTCTCCAGCGCATTCCCGACAACCTGAATCCAGTCCCAGGTTCTCACCTGATGCTGATGTTCCTCACTGTACATTTGTCACTTTGCCGAATCCGGTCTCTTTCATCAGCGGTCCTTTTACTCGGATCCTTGATCCGATTTAATATCCATAGGTCTCCCATGGACTGTCACCAAGGCTCAGTGGTAAGAGTACAAATACAAATATGTAGAGATACATACAAAATAATAAATAATATAAGGTTTTGTGCTCTATATATTTGTATTTGTATTCCTTTCAAACCAAGTTCAATACATCTCCCCTGCCAAGCCCTAAGATGGGAAGAAGGGGCAAGGATTGAAACGGATCAGATTGGTTTTGAATCGGGATATATTTAAATTCAATCCTATTAACGTAGATTTGAATTCCAATTCATTAAGGCTAAGTTTGGGAGTGTTTATTTGAAAAACAAGACTTAAAAATAAAAGCATTAATGAGGGTTTGGTGAAAAAGCACTTATTTTAAAGGAAAAATTCCCGATTAGTACCTTCTACTTTGGATTTAGTGTCATTTGGTCCTTGAACTTTAAAATGCGGCAATTTAATATCCAAACTTTCAAAATGTGACAATCTAGTACCTGTCGTTAATTAGATGTTAATTAGTCGTTAAGTGATATTTTAAAAAGACACAAATGCCCATTCAAGAGTCGTATGATTTTCTTTATCACCTATCCAAATATTGATAAAAAAAACAATTAATAGTCCCAAATCATTGCCTCTTCTTCTATTCAAGAAAGTTGGGGTCACCATTCACCAAAATGCCCACTCAAACATAACCCCAACTTTCTTGAATGTAAGAAGAAAGGATTTGAGACTATTAATTTTTTGTCAACATTTAGATGGTTGATAAAGAAAATTAAATAACACTAGAAGGGAATTTGTGTCATTTTCAAATGTCACTTAATGACATGTTAACTACTGATTAATGACATGAATTGTCATGTTTTAAAATTTGGGTACTGAATTATTGTCGCATTTTAAAGTTCAGGGACAAAAGTGACACTAAACACAAAGTACATGATACTAATCGGAAATTCTCCCTATTTTAAATAAGGGTAATATAGGTATTTGTAAAATGATGTGGCGGGTCGACCAAAAAAGAAATAAGCACTCATTGAATAAGCACAAAAGTAAATGCTTATTTCCCAATTGCAAGTAACTGTTTGTTGCTGTGGTCCTGGCCCAAAATAAATACTTATTCTAAAAAATGTTGGATATTTGAATATGATCCGATCTAATTTAATTTTAAAAAAATAAATAATATAATAGTTTATAAGAAAAACAAAAAAAATATAATTAATTTTTTTCAATTATTTTCATCATATATATGCACGTTTTTTTTTTTTATAAAAAGTAATAGTATAAACTAATATAGAAATGCAATATAAATATATATAGATTGGATCAGATAGGAGTGATCCGAAAATACGACATGGGATATCCAAATCCGAAAAAATAGGTTCGGATTCGATCCATTTGCACCCCTAAAAGAGGCGTATTGAGTGCTCGAGACGTGTACACAAATGCCAACCTGTTCCCCCGCCACCTCATCAATGGCACAGCGGCGGGAGCATTGTTTGGTGTAGGCAATGTCACCATCTGCTAGCTCACTTAAACGCTTTAGATTCCAATCAAGTCTATTTCGTCACGGTTTGACAAGGGGCCCACGCATATGGGGTGTCAAGTGGGAACCATGCCAGCCTAAGGTGGGGGCTGATCGTTAATAAGATCTCAATCTGACGACTTGAACACGTCTATTTCGATATAACGCTTGCAAGTTGTAACTTCTTCCCTTTACTATATATTTTTTGGATGACGAGTTTTATGGAACTTTTGATTCCTCGTCGCAGAACGTGGGTCCCACCTTGTTTGTGGAGCCGAGTATCCAATAATAGCATAAACTCGTTTTTTAAACAAAAAATGGGGTAATAATAAGAGTATTTTAGTCAATAATAAAAAACAACTATAGCTCAGTACATTGACTAAATTCCCTCAATCTAAATTCTTAGATCCAGAATTATCCTTCGTTCAGTCAGCCCGTCACAAAGACGTAGACATATGTACCGCGTAGATAGGGAAAAGGTAATTTTCGTATTTATAATCAACCTTCGGGGTATTTCTGTACTTCAATCCATAATTAAATTTTGTGGAGATCCAACTTTGCCCCCGAAAATAGGTTTCATTTTCTACGATCAGGACAGGAACGAGCGGAAGACTCGTTTAGAAGGAGAGAAAAGGGAAGAAGAAAGATCTCCGGCTGCAAGTTAGAAGCAATTGCAGAGCGCTGCGGGGAGCTAAACGCGGCATTAATGGCGGAAGCGCCGGAAAACCAGCAACCAAGCGGGGAGAGCGTTAAGCTCTTCGTTGGCCAGGTTCCCAAAGACATGACCGAGGCTGAGCTTCTTGCCATGTTCAAGGAGGTTGCTCTGGTAGACGAAGTCAATATCATCAAAGACAAGGCAACTCGGGCTTCAAAAGGTCCGGGAAATTCAACCTCGAGCTTCTAACCTTGCATTTCTTTCTACATTTTGGCTGTTATGTTCTCTGCCTCGACGGATCGCGATGTGTGATCTGAACGTTTTTCTCTAGTTGGTGAAGAATTTGTAGTTCAGAATACTTCCGTTATCATTTTAAAGCCTGTTTCTGTTTTTTCTTATGGTATTTGACTTTTATTTCACAGGTTGTTGTTTTCTGATCTGCCCGTCGAGGGAGGAAGCAGATAAAGCAGTCAATGCGTGGCATAACAATCGAACACTTCCTGGGGTGAGTTGGAGTTCTTGCCTCGAATTCATGTTTTCTGAGGTTCTATATGATGTCTTTTCATTGTACTGAGCCGAGATGTGTTCACGTGAGAGTACTTGACCGGGAATATTTATGTTGATGCGCTGAGTTGTTTGTAAGCTCGAGTTAGAAATTCGAGCTCTGACTATTTGTTTTGTATTGCTTTAGGTTCGCTGTGTTGAAGACTTGAAGTTAGGGTTGAGCATCTATTCTTTCCATTGCAGCTTTATGCCTTTATGTTATGTTGCTAACTGGGTAATTTGATGAATAATGGAGATAGGATGAATAAGATGATGATATCAGAGTAAGCCTAGGACTTATAGGGAATGTGACAGACGATACTATATGATGTCACTGCGAATATGATATTAGAGTCAGTAAGACAATTCATCTAGGGAGTGATTCAGTGGATCTGACGCATAGTGTTCTGAAAAGTGTGAACCAGGTGCACTTAGGATCACAGGCAAGGCTCGTTTTTGTAGGATGTACATGACCCAGCTTGGTGGGATGTTTTGGTGAATTAACCTTGAATTCTATGCTAACTAGGTAATTTACTATACTGTAGATTGTACATATAAGTTTTAATGTTTAAACCTATTTCTGACTTGGACATACAAAGACATCCTTTTTATTAATAAGACAATGCTCAAAACAACTGAACAAAAATAATTTCACTCAATACTATAGGAAACCAAAAGTTTATTTTGGTACCTACAAACTTTGGACGTACTCATCTTAAATAGATGTTTTACTTTGATGTTGATATCTCCATTAGAATGAGGGGCAGTATCATTAAATCAGGAAAAAATTCTAAAAAGTAGGGGGAGGGATTGGAGACTTATAATATTAGGGGCCTTGGTCTGAAGATGAAAGGCAAAGCACTGTATGCAAAGTCCCTAGTTCCGATTTTAGAAGTTAGGGGACTTGATTCAAGATGCTGGGCAAGGGTTGCTCTCAGATTGGTTAGGCCAGTTAGTAGGGAGAGGGGTTATGCTTTTGTTTACTTTTCTTGTGGTTTTGATGCTTTGAGCTGTGATTTTATTTTTTTGATAAAATGAAGTAATTTTATTAGAAAGTGGATAAAATCAGGTACAAGTGTCTCATGGAGAGGCACGAGCTACAACCTTCCCACACAATCAAAACCAAAAATAGATTACAGCTGTGCCCAATACAAGTGTTCCCTATTTGTTCCCTGCTTGGCCAAACTATCAGCCATGGCATTTGCCGATCTCCCCACCCACTGTGTTCTGACATACAAGCTTCTTGTCAGCCATTTGAATTTCTTTATTTCATTCTTAAAGYACCAAATCACAGATTCTGGTTTTTGCAGCCATTCCACAACCACCTTGAGTCTCCTTCTATTATTAGTTGTTCTGCTCCTATCTGTAGTGCAAACTGCACCCCTTGAAGGGCAGCTAGTAATTCTGCCCTTGTGGAGTTTCCCACAACCACCTTGTCAGCCATTTGAATTTCTTTATTTCATTCTTAAAGCACCAAATCACAGATTCTGGTTTTTGCAGCCATTCCACAACCACCTTGATTCTCCTTCTATTATTAGTTGTTCTGCTCCTATCTGTAGTGCAAACTGCACCCCTTGAAGGGCAGCTAGTAATTCTGCCCTTGTGGAGTTTCCCACAACCACCTTGTCAGCCATTTGAATTTCTTTATTTCATTCTTAAAGCACCAAATCACAGATTCTGGTTTTTGCAGCCATTCCACAACCACCTTGGAGTCTCCTTCTATTATTAGTTGTTCTGCTCCTAGCTGTAGTGCAAACTGCACCCCTTGAAGGGCAGCTAGTAATTCTGCCCTTGTGGAGTTTCCCACACCTAAAGGGCTCGAGTATATGGGATCCACATTTCCACTTTCATTCCTCAGAACCCCTCCCACCCCAGAGGGACCTGGGTTACCTCGACTGCTGCCATCAAAATTTAGTTTAAAAAAAAACTTTAGGAGGGGGTTCCCAACTCATACACACCCTCTTTCTCAAAAATGAGAATTGGTGAAATAGATCCACAGATTTCAGCCATAAGATGGCCCTATGCAAGACGCACTCCTTCGGTTCTTGTTGAGTTCTCTCCTTCTCTTGGAAGATCTTGACATTCCTTTCTTCCCACACCGTCCAAATCAATTCTGCTCTTGCACACCTCCACATTGTTCTTTCTCTTCTAGTGCGCCAAGTAAAGATAGATTGATCAAAGAGCATGCTTACTTCTGTTGGCCTATTCCACCTGCACCCAAAGATAAAGAAAAGCCAATCCTACAATTCTGTTGTGACTGGACAAGTGATTAGTACATGAAAACAGTCCTTTCCATGAGACCTACAAAGAGTACACCAGCTAGGTGAGGTACAAAGATAAGGTCTTCTCTTTTGTAGATCCCAGGTGTTTATTTCCCAAAATACACTTCCCAACAGAATGCCAAAACCTTAGGGGGGAATAGTCCTACACCAAACCTCTTTAAAGTGGAAGGATTGTTGAGAGGGAGTCTGGCAAAGGGACTTAAAAAAGGAAGCACAAGAGAAAGTTCCTGAGGGACAAGAAATCCAAATTCTTTTGTTTGAAGAGTTTTTACACAAGCTCTTTTTTAAAGCTAGAGACAATGAACAAAGGCAGGAAGAGGTCCTTCAAAGGAGTCTCTTCAACCCAAGTTTCCTCCCAAAAAAGAACTGAATTACCATCACAAACACCATACCTGAGAAAGTTACGAAATTGAGGGAGAACATTGTGGATTGCCTTCCAAGGTGTTGCCAAAGTTGCCCGCCTGGATACTCCTGTGTTCCATCTGTTTTTTGAATGACCGTGAATACTTCCTGCTACCTCGTGCCACAATCTGTCTCTCTCTATTGTCCACCTCCATAACCACTTCCCTAACAACGCTGTGTTCTTTTGCAGTATATTCCCTATTCCCAACCCTCCCTCCTCTTTACTCCTACATACCACTTCCCACTTTATTAGATGCTCCTTCCTACTCTCCCCCCGGTTCCCATAAGAAATCCCTCATCAGTTTCTCCAGTTTCTTGGCTTCCCTGGCTCGAATCCTAAAGATAGATAGAAAGTAGGTTGGTAGGTTAGCAGGGTGGCTCTCTAATCAAAGTGATTTTACCCCCCCCAACGAAATGTAGTTCTTTTTCCAAGAGGCCAATCTCTTTTCAAAATTCTCAATAACCGGGCACCAAAATCTGCTTTCCCTAGGGTTTACCCCTAATGGAAACCCTAGGTAGGTCATAGGCCAATTAGAAGTAGAACATTCTAAACATTCTGAAATAACCTTCGCCTCTCCACTTTCCAAATTTACTCCTGCCACACTATTTTTTCCAAGATTGGCTCTCAGATTGGAAATCCTTTCAAATCTTTCCACCAACACCTTTCGATTTCTTACTTTCTCAATATCACCCTCTTCACAAAGAATTAGTATATCATCTGCAAATTGAAGATGGGTAATAGAAATTCTATCCCTGCCTATTCTCCACCCATTTCCTTTGAGATCATTCTACTAAGGACATCAGCTATTAAGATGAAAAGGAAGGGTGAAAGAGGGTCTCCTTGCCTTACTCCCCTACAGGTTGGAAAGAAATCTTTGACCACTCCATAGTTTTCAAGGCGCCAAGGCGAGGCTAGGCGACCACAGGGCGCCCAGGCGCCTAGGCGTTGGAATTTTAAAATATTAATTTTTTTTGAGTTTTTACTTTATCTATGCTTTTGTAAGCTATTTTATTGGTTTTCTGTGCTAACTAGCAAGCATGTACACTAACTATTAACTCTATAAATCATTCAAATGAGTATAAAACTATAAATTTCATATAACTAGCAAGCATGTACACAGTACACTAACTATACACTAACTAGCAAGCATGTACACTAACTATTAACTGAAAAAAAATAAATAAATAAGTGCAGGAACTAGGAAGGGAGGAGAGGAGTATAGGGGTGGAAGAAGAAGTATAGGGGATTAGGGAAGCTGAGGTGCGATGGAGTTGGGCTGGGGAATGAAGTCTTCGGTTTTCCTCCCTCTCCAATCGAACTGAAGAAACCCTTGTGCATGTAACCGAAGAAGAAGAAAAACACTTTGTATAGTTGTCTTAATAATAAAATAACGATAGTATGTAACCGGTTTTATTTTAAAAGAATAAACATCTAATAAAATATCAAAATAACAAATTAAAAAAAAGTTAGTAGATGTATGTAGGCGCCCACCTTGTATATAGGCGCCCGCCTAGTCGCCACCCGCTTAAGTCTCTGGGTGGGCGCCTAGTATATGTGTTGCCTTGACAACTGCCACTCCATTAACCAAGAGACAAAGATGACAAAAAGTTAAAAATTGACCACTCCATTTTGTGTGAAGATTTGGTGGCAGGGAGGGGGTATTGTTGCTTCTCTTTGTATTTGTAAATTGTAACATTTTATCACCTGAGGTTGTATTTTTTTTATGTGCTTAGCCTCATTTACATCAAAGAAACATCTTTCTCAATCAACTTGGGGTCTCAAGAATGATGTTTTTTATTGGTTAAAATCAGAGTTCTATTAATAATGAAAAGAATAGATATGTACAATAGTCTAGGGTAGGCTAACCCTGTCACCTATTTAATTCCTTTTCACTTTAATTGCATATTCTTGGGGTTTGAAGAATGATATTATTCCACTCATTAAAAAAAAGTAATTAAAGGTCAGACGCATGAACTCTTCTATGATAGGAGCCCAAAAGGAAATCATGTGATCAATCTTTCCCATTGACAACAGTGACCACCCATTGCTTTTGCTAAAAATTTTTGGTGCTTGTTTCCTTTTACATACAATGACAAATAGCAAAAGGTGCTAGTCTAGTTCCCATGGATCCTACCTACTGAAGCCTTTGACTTGACGGGCGTCAATAAGGAAAGAAAATGACCCAATGAATAACCCATTGCCTCCCAGAAAGGCTTATAAAGTGCCAGTATGCTACCAAATTTCCTAGTTAAAACAAGCAATGCATAAGATGTTCCA